CTTGGACGGATGCTGCACCAGTCCTGCGTCTACCAGCCCTGCCTTGTCGCAGAGAGCGTAGAACTCGGGATACTTCTGTGTAAACTCCTCCCCACAATCGGCGGCATATCCTCGTTCGCCTATTCTTCTGCCTCTTTCTCCCCCTGCGCCCGTGCTTTCGAGGACCAGCTGGTGAGCAGTGAGTGGCCAAGGCTACCAGATCGTCCTGCAACTCCTCCACCTCGTCCTCCATCGCATTTCCTTGTATATCCCCTCTCGGTCGCACCCCAAGACGTGTCGGTAAAGCGGGCAAGGCGTCTCCCCTGAGACTTTCTCACCGCTTATGATCATGAGGCTTACACTTTGCAAGAGTTTCACGGATGGGACACGGGCAGTTTTCAAAATGCGGCTATAGTTACAACGCCCCGGACATTCGTTTTGAAAAATTGCAGGAAGTTCGCGAATGGAGGGCGGGTGGTCTTCAAAATGTGGCTCTCGCCTGAGCGCCGCGCTCATGGGAGAGTTTCCCCCATGGGGCGCTGCAACAACAAACCCCCTCCAACCAGATATTGGCACGTTGTGTGCGCATTGGGCCTTCGATCATTCCAATGCTGCGCGTTCAACAGGCAGTCGTATGCTTATATGGCAACTCCTTTTAAATTCCTTTCGCGTCCCCGTCGTCGGAACCGACGATGTGTTCGAGATCTTCCTCCTTCTCCACAGCGAAAAGAGATATGAGGTTGATCTTGGCAACACGTGTCTGGACCTCCAAAATTGGAAGGTTTTCGAACGATTGCTGAAACAGGAGTTGGGAAGAGGTGGCTGCCCAAGTTTGCCTGGTCGTTGGTTTCCTGCTCCGCGTTCTGCAAACATTGGTTGCGCACTCCCTCATGCCGTGCCGATGTGTCTAGAGCCTCACGGGCTTTGCGCGCCGCAACCCCAATATGACGCAAGCCGACTTAATGCTCGAAGTCCCGACGCACTCGTCTTTGCTTATTGAATGTGGTGTTTCACTGGGGTGTGTGGGCGAGCGCCCAGAAACGGAAATACCTGCTTCCCATCACCCGTCCCATCCAGGAGCTGCTGAGCCAAAAGCCCTAACAAGATCACCCGTCGATATGGCGAATAGGGAGAAAGGGTCCAAGACTGGGCGGTGCCAATGTGAAGCTGAACCCAAGGCCTGCCACATGGACACGTGTTGGCCGTGCGTCCGTCATGTGGTTCGAGCCATACTTGTTTCGGTGGTCCCAATGCTCAAGTTGCAACCAATAGTTTCCCCAACCCGCCACATGGACGGGTTGGGATTACCCCCAAACCGTATCAACAAGAAGCTTGGGGGTGCACGAAACATACCTTTTCGTTGACATGGCGCCGCGGCATGGAGGTGAGAGCAGTGGAGTCGACAACTTGAAGATCGGCAAATGACTTGAACCACGCAGGTTGCACCGCAAGGACTGCAAGAACCTACTGTTTGGGGCCCACGCCGGACAACACTGATGCAACAACATAGACCGCATACGGCGGCACCCTTCCCGTCCCAGATGCTCCTCCAGCTTGCCCGTCGACCCGCAGATCGACAAGCCGAGCGCGAGCTTGGCCGCTGTCTCCTGGCCGCGGCTGGCAATGGACAGGCGGGCGAAGCTCAAACCCCTCCTGTATCTCCGCCACCACCTTCTTCTCTTACTCCTCCTCCTCCTCCTCCTCCTCCTCCTTCTCCTCCTCTTCCGCCTCCTCAACCTCCTCCTCCTCCTCCGCCTCCTCCCTCTTCCTCCTGTTCCTCCCCTTCCTCCCCATCCCCTGCTTCCCCCCCCTCCTCCTTATCCTCCCTTCCTCCTCCTGCCCGTCCCTTTTCTCTCCCCCCATCCTCCTCTCCTCATCCTCATCCTCATCCTCCTCCTCCAGCTCCTCTTCCTCCTCCTACGTGTCCCCCCCCCTCCTGCAACTCCCCCTCATCTTCCCCATCCTACCCCACATCCTCCTCCTCGTCGTGCTCCCCCTCATCCTCACAAGCACCATCAGCATTAGCATCCCCATCATCATCAGCATCATCAACATCACCAGCATCATCAGCAGCGGCATCATCATCCTCATCACCATCATCATCAGCATCAACAGCAGCAGCATCAGCATCAGCGTCATCAGCATCATCATCGTCGCCATTACCATCAGCATCCGCATCATCATCACCAGACCCATCCTCATCGTCAGCCTTATCATCATCAACATCAGCATCTGTATAACCAACATCAGCATCATCGTCATCATCATCATCATCATCATCATCGCCATCAGCATCAGCATCATCATCATCAGCCTCGTCCTCATCAGTAACATCAGCATCACCACCTTCATCATCATCATCATCATCATCGTCATCATCATCATCATCATCATCATCATCATCAGCATCATCATCATCATCATCATCATCGTCATCATCATCATCATCATCATCGTCGTCATCATCATCATTGTCATCAGCAACAGCATCAGCAACAGCAGTAGCAACAGCACGATCATCGTTACTTCATCACCACCACTATAAGCACCACTATCATCAGTATCACCATCATCGTCATTGGCATCGTCGTCGTCATTGTCGCCACCATCATCATCGCTTTCACAATCACCAGGGCAATGATCGTCACGGCCAGCAGCTTCGTAATCGACATCATCAAGATCACTTTCAGCATCTTCATGCTCATCCTCATCATCACCACCATCATCATCACCACAATCATCATCATGGGCAGCATCATCGCCGTCATCAGCATCACTGCCATCATGCATCATCAGCATCGTAATCATCATCCTTAACCTGATGCCTACCAACCTCATCGTCCTCCTCCTCCTCATCCTCAGCAGCATCATCAGCATCAACACAACCACCATCATCATCAACATCATCATAAACAATATCATAATCACCCTCCTCATCATCATAATCATCATCACCATCACCACTACCATCATCATCATCGTCATCATCATCATGATCATAATGGTCATCATCACCATCAACACCGCCGTCCTCAACACCATACTCGTCGTCCTCCGCATCATCACCACCACCACCATCATCATCATCATCATCGTCACCATCCTCAGCAGCATCATCACCAGCATGATCATCACCACCAGCATCATCATCACCACCATCACCATCATCATCATCATCATCATCATCATCATCAGTAACACCAGCATCGTCATCCTCAACATCACACGAGAAGGAGAGAGAGAGAGAGTAGCAGAAGGGGGGCTACGAGCAGAAAACACGTGGCATAACCAGACGGGCAGATCGGGCGGGCAGACCCTAACAGGCGGATCGGGAAGGCGGGCCCAGGCGGCCAGGCCGAGCAGGCGGGTTGCTCAAGCGTGCATCGTGCGTGAATCGCGAGCCTCAAGCGTAAATCGTGATATAAGCCAGAGCGAGAGCGCGATTCCTGAGTATCGAGTGCGCGGCGTCTGAGTAAATTGCGAGTAAGTCCCACACGGGAGCGCGATGTCTGCATAAACGTTGAGGATTTCCCGCGCGAGAGTGCGGTTTGGGAATGCATTGTGAAGAAGTATTTGAAGAAGTATCCGGCGGGAGCCGCTGTTGTTGTAAATCGGGGGGCCAAGGGCCAATTCTGAGACCCAAGACCTTCTCTGATATATAACAGCGTGCGAAACCAGGGAAGGGCACTTCAAATGAAACATACAATGTTCCTCGTAGGGGGGTTAACAATAATCATCATTCAGTAGTGAGAGGTCAACAACATCATCATCAACATGAACAACAGCAACAGCAACAGCAACAGCAACAGCTGCAGCAACAGCAACAGCAACATAAGCATAAACAACATAAACAGCAACAACAACGGCAACCCCAACAACAACAGAAACATCCTCATCAGCAAAAACAGCAGCAAAAAGTGTATTTCTGCGAACCGCCGTACAATAATGCGGTTCGCTTACTTACACTTGCTGCAATGCCCCACACCATCGGCTCTCGCTCTCCTCGTCTATGAACGTGCCTCCTTTCTTCGGGGGCGGCCAAGAGGGGGGGGCGCAAATCATGGCCGGCGGCATGTGCGCGGCCCATGGGGAGGGCAAGGGACGCAGTGAAATAAGAGGAGGCGCCGTGAGATCTGGGGAGATGTCGTGGCCCCCGCCATGACATCAATCCCCCCTAGTCACTACCCCCCTCTTGGCCGCCCCCGAATATCGGGTCGGGCGAAAGGGGGGGATAGCAAAGGGGGGGGTTGAGAATCAGCTCACGTAGCTGATTTTCCCGGCGTCGCCCGGCGCTGGAAGGCGCCCATGTATCGAGGATTGGGCCCGGCGGCGGGGCCGAAACCAGCTACATGCAGCAGATTTCGTAACCCCCCCTGTCCCAAACCCCCCCTTTCGCCCGACCCGAGAATACCAACTCCTGGGTGAACTCTGCTACGGTAAGACAGGAGGATCGACCGGGCGGACTCCCACGGGCGGGCCGGGCGGACGGACCCGAACAGGCCGGCGGGGCGGGCGGACCTTCGCGGGCAGGTCGGGCGGGAGGGGGACGAGGAGGAGTAGGAGAAGGAGGAGGAGGAGGAGGAGGAGGAGGGGGAGGAGGGGGAGGAGGAGGAGGAGGAGGAGGAGGAGGAGGAGGGGGAGGAGGAGGGGGAGGAGGAGGAGGAGGAGGAGGAGCGGGCGGGCTTCCACGCAGGCGAGCGGGCTTCCGCGCAGGCAAGCGGGGCGGGCGGACCCTGGCGAGCGGATCGGGCGGGCGGACCCGAACGGGCGGGCTGGGCGGGGTGAAACCACGATCTTTGAGCAAGTTGCTGGCAAGTCCCAAGCGAAAGCGCAGCTCCAAAGTGAGTCGAAAAGAATTCTGAAGAGCGCCGTTCCTGAACAAGTTGCCAAGTTGCGCGGAAGCCTCGGGAGAGAGTACGATTCCTGAAAGACAAGGGCGCGATTCCCTCATAGATTGTGAGGTCCCCGTCGGCTGCGCGAGTTTGAATTAATCTGCAAGCAAGCAGCAAGCCTCGAGCGAGAGCTCGATTTCTGAGTAAGCTGTGAGAAAGTCTCAGGTGGGCCCAGTGTTGATGTGATGGGGGGCAGGGGCGCACTCCGAACCAAGCAAAAACTGTCCTTGGTGCGAGCCTCGAGGGGGGCAATTCAATTGAAACAGACCTAGAGAAAGAGAACCTGCAGGGTCATGGGCGTCGCCAGGGGTGCGTGCAGCGCAGGTCCAAGAAATCCGCGCGGAGCGTCAAGAGTTTGTGTACATGCCGCTATGTTTCCCTTTGAAAGCAAAGGGGGGATGAATCATACAGTGGAGGCCAGTCCACAAGAAACCTTCCACAAGAAACCCAACCCTGAGCCCAGGACGCCCACCGATTGTTTGGTGTGGGACCGTCACACCTTCAACATCTGAACCCTCAAGACCCAAGAAACCAGGGGCACCCTGGAGGCAAGCAGGGTGTTCCTTGGCATGGGCCTCCACTGCAACAGTTCGTCAGCAGTGAGACCTCAGCAGCGACCACGGCACCTGCTCCTCCTGCAGAGAAGGCCGCGGGGCGCGGGCGCGCGGCCCTGTACTTCCAGCCGGACCCGACGCCCACGCCCCAGGCGGCGAAGAGCTGGCTCTTCGCCACGGTGAGGGGCACGTCCTCCCCGCCCCCCGCCCCCACGGCTGCTGGGGGACGTGCTGGAGGAGCCCAGGGGAGGAGGAGGGAGGAGGAGGAGGAGGAGGAGGAGGAGGAGGAGGAGAAAGGGGAGGAGGAGGAGGAGGAGGAGAAGGAGGAGGAGGAGGAGGAGGACGAGGAGGAGGGGGAGGAAGATGAGCAAGGTCAGCAGGACGAAGGAATGGAGGGAGGAGAGGAAGGAGGAAGAGGAAAAATACCCAGGGGCAGAGGAGGAGGAGGAGGAGGAAGAAGTGGAGCCAGCACGCGTGCGATGTCCACGTTGACCCAGCGTGGGAGAGGTGCAAGGGAAGCTGCTTCGAGAAATCATCCCAAGCCCAGGGCCTTCCGGCGTCGCGAGGGCCAGGCGGCGATACCGAGGGAGCGCCGCGTGCCAGAAGGGGAGGCGGGTGAACGCTGGCCCTCGGCAGCCTGAGCCGAGGGGCAGGAGAGCCCAGAGTCGAATCGACAAGTCGGACCGGCGATCGAAATGGATCGGATCGGCGGACATCGGCAGCCAAGTCGATGTAAGGTCGCGTGGGCACGAATCGGAAGGCCAGCAGGCCTCAATCGTGAAATCGGGGCCAAGAGTCGGCGTCCGACGTCGAATCGAATCGGAATCGGAGACCTTTGAGAGCGAGTGGAATCGAGACGGAGGCATCGAAATTGAGCCCCGAGGGGGGGCGGCCGATGACGGAGCGGGCTGGGACGGACGGACGAGCGGACGCCACCGGAGCCAAGCTGCCCCATCGGAGCGGAGGAGCACGCAGCGCACAGAGCGCCGAGAGCGAGGCGTCGGCACGAGTCTGGCTTCGGCTTCGTGCCATCGTTGTTCAGCACACGATGGAGCAGCGTTGTCATCCGATCCCCATCCCCAGAGCCGTGGCCTGGGCCCCACTGGCCGAGTGACCCCCCCCCCCCCGATTGGGATATCAGCCGTCCCCTTCGAGCTTCGAGGGGTGCATCCCAAACTGGGGCGGTAATTTGGTTGGGGGTCTCGGAGGGGATGGGGATGGGGATGGGCGTCGGTTAAACGATGCCGAGTAATGGGTGCCAGTTTTCTGGCTTGGCATCCATGCCCAGAAACTGGTAGGGAGCCAACTAGACGACGCCTGCAGGAGGAGAGCCCTCTCCGAAGAGCGAAAGAACCTCTCAGAGGCCGGAGGTGCATGGTTTCCCCCGGGGCCGTATGCGACCCGAGGGAGGAGGAGGAGGAGAAGGAGGAGGAGGAATAGGAGGAGGGAGGAGGAGGAGGAGGAGGAGGAGGAGGAAGAAGAGGAGGAGGAGGAGGAGGACGGGTCGCCTAAGCCCTTCGGAGAAACCCTCCAGCCGGAGGACTTCTGAGAAGACCCGCCGCCTGCTGAGAAGGCCTTCTCCTTCTTTTTCCCCCACTCGCTCGCCGCCGAAACGTGCGAAGCGAACGTGGGATCCGACACACTCGGGCACACCGTTCATACACCGAGACCAAAACTGGCCAGACCCGCCCCGGGGCCGAGATTGGTGCTATCTCGCCCCTTGGGCAGCAGCGGAGGAGAATGTGCACCAATCTCAGTCGCCGGGGTGTACCAGGCCTCCCCAGAGGACAAGCCTGGGGGGGCGAAAATAAACGTAGATGCTATCAAAAACGCTGAGGCCATCAAGACGAAGCCAGGCCGAGAATAGAATAGAATCGGGTGAGGATGAATTGAGAATCTCTGAGATTTGGCGGTTCTGGAGGATGTATCGAACGCCGCGGCCTTCTCAGAGCGTTCCGGAACGCCCTGATAGCGTTCCGGAACGCTCTGGAAAAACTTCGTCCTCGTCCTAGCCCCGTCCGAACCAGGCCTCCCCCGAGGACATGCCTGGGGGGCGAAAAGACACGTAGATGTAATCAAAAACGCTGAGGCCATGTTTCCCGCTTTGATGGCCGACAGTGTGTGTCAGTGTTGGGCGCCGCGTTTGTTACGTGCCCAGGTCCGGGATCGGCCCGAGGCCCACCTTTCGCTTTTTGACAACTTCCTTTGCGTGTCTAATTCACTTGCCGCTCTGAACCCGCTTTGATCAAGTCAAGAACGAAATGTGGAAAACAGAAAACCAAGAGAAGCGCCCCCATACCTGTCAAGAGCAACTGAGAGCTGGTGGCGGTGACTGCCACACAGGATTTCTTCACCATGACAGGCACCGACTGAACCGAGGCCCCCTCCTCGCAATCCGCCGCAGCCGCCTTCAGTGCCTCGCCGACCTCTGGCATGACGTTCCTGCCACGCGCGAGGTCGACTCACCACTCCGCTGCACATCCCCCACTGGTCCATCCTCCTCCTCCCCCAACTCCTCGTCATCTCACTGCTCCTCTCACATCCATCCTCCTCCCCGTTCCTTACGGAAAGCAAAGGTACCGAAACCGCTACTCTCCAGACCTCCCCCAGGGTACGTTCTGACCAGAATTCCGAAGCGAATTCAGCCGTGGCGACGAGGGCCTCCCAGGAGGTGAACAAAAACCGAAAACGAGGGAAAGGTAGTGGTAGCGATGCTTGTTCCTCCACCGACCTCCATCGGTCTCCCCCTTCCCAGGTCGAGTGTTGCACCCGTCGAACAATTGAGCGACGAACCAAATATCTGGCGTGCGATGACATAGCTATCTTGCGCGGTGGCTTGCGCGGGCCGCCAGCGCGGCACGCCACGTTGGAAACGAAGGCGCTCGCGCGCGCCCCCACGAGGACCCCGAAAGGCCCCCAATGAGGCCCCAAGACGGCTATCCTCCTCCTCCTCCTCCTCCTCCTCCTCCTCCTCCTCCTCCTCCTCCTCCTCCTCCGCCTCCGCCTCCGCCTCCGCCTCCGCCTCCGCCTCCGCCTCCGCCTCCGCCTCCGCCTCCTCCTTATCATCCTCCTCCTCTTGCTCCTCATCCTCCTCCTCCACCTCAACCTCCTCCTCCTCCTCTTCCTCCCTCCAGCGCCCGCCCCATGTCCCGAGCCTGTGGCAGGGCCATCAGCTCGTCGCTGTCGTTGTCGTCGTGGTCGTCGTCATGGTCGTCGTCGTCGTCCTTCTGGGTCGGCGGCATCAGCCGTAAGGCCTTCACAATCGGCACTTCCAGTTCTTGCCCGATTAGGTTGAAAATGTTCAACTCCGAGGCTCCAGATTGAGCCCATAATCCAAAATTAAAAACTTCAATCCCTCGCTCGGAAATCGAAAAAAGCTGTCCAATATCTCCCAAATTGACACATGACTTGAAAATGTCAGTCTGGACCTTCCCATATTGAATAATTAAACACCTTGAGACAGGCCGCGAGTTCAAAACCCGCTAAACCCGCTGCATAGCCCCGCCCCACTACTTTCTCGCCCGCTTAACCCACCCAACCCAACCAGATGCGATACGATCCCACACTTTCATGTTGCCCGCCTAACCCGCTCGGTCAGGCCTGACCAAATCAAGGGGCCCAAGGACACACATAAATACCAACAAAAAAATGATGATCCCCCATATGTTCCCATATGTTCTGGGTTTTGTCTTCCCCCCACTTCCCATATTTTCCTATATTTTCCTGGGAGTCGACGATTAATTGTGTCTGTGTGTTTTTTCCCCTCCTGACCAAACTCGATAGGGCCCTGCACTTTCTTGTCCCGCCCGCCGGGCCCGCCGCCCCCCTCCCCCCCCGTTCGCTCTGCCCTACCTGGCGAGACTCGGTGAATCCCTGCACTTTCAGGTCCCGCCCGCTTGACCAGACTCCACAGAGCCCTGCACGTTCATGTTCCGCCCGCCCTGCCCAGCCAGACCAGGCCCGATCGGACCCCACGCCTCAATGTTCCGCCCGCCTGACCCCGCTCTGCCGCTCCGCCCCACCTCGCTCGGCCAGACTCGAGAAGGCCCTGCAACCGGATGTCTCGCCCGCCTGACTCGCCCCGCCAGCTCGCGTCGGCCCACCCGACCAGGCTCGGCCGCCCGCCTGGACTGGCCGCCAGACACGACGCGATGGGGCCCAGTTGTTGGAAGCCCCGCCCGCCTCACACGCCGTGCCATCCGCCCCAGCCCGGTCGACCAGACTCATCCGAGGCCCTTACGCTGCAAGGTACCCACCCGACCGAGCCACCCGTCCCCCCCATGACCCGATCCTTTCGGCCGCACGCGATACAGCCCCCCACCCTTCCCTGCCCCGCACGCGAGCCCCGCCCCCTTCGCTCGGCCAAGCTCCAGCAGAGCCCTGCACTTCGAGCGTCCCGCCGGAGCGCCCCGCCCCGCCGCCCCGCCGGCTGGCGCCGCCTCGCCCGACCACACACGACAGAGATCCACACCCTCTACAGATTGTCCCGCCCGCCAGGCCCGCCCCGCCCGTGGACCCCGCTCCGCCGACCACGCGCGATGGAGATCCGCACTCTCGCGGCCCGCCGGCCCGACCCGCCCCGCCCTCCGCCCTGCCCCGCAGGGAATGAGGTGCAGGAACTGACTCCACACGTGGACGACTTGTGCGGCCATGCGCGGCCCACCACTCTGCTACGATGGGGTGTGGCCTCGGTGCTGGGCGCGCGCTGCAAGAGATCAGAGCCGGAGTTGCCGTGGAACGGGTTGGAAATCAGATAGGCCAAACTTGTCGTAACAGCTCGGCGGCTCTGGGCTGGAACACAACGGCCTGGTGCCCCGCCTGACCAGACTAGAGGCCTCCTTGATGGGGTCCGAGTAGATGCGATCGGAAGACCTCGCCGCATCGCCGATACATCGGCGATGCATCGCCGATGCATCGGCCATGCATCGGCCATGCACTGGCGACGTCGGCGATACATCCGCGACGTCGGCGTGGAGAAAATTGGGCCCCACATCGATCCGCATCGTCGATGCATCGGCGATGCATCGGCGATGCGGCGCGATCCTCCGACCCCATCTACTCCGACCCCATCTAGGAGGTCTAGACAAACCCGATGATCAGGACCCTACACTTTCAGGGTCCGCTCGCCCGATCCGCCCGGCCCGCCCGAACGGCCAAACCCTGGCAGGGCTCGCTCGCCCGCCTCGGCCGCCCGGGTGGCGGGCGACAGGAAAACCAGCACGGGAGGGCAGAGGAAGATGACAGGGCAGGGAGAAGCCATACGACACGACTGCGCCGGGATTGAAAAACCGGGGATTGAAACTAGGAGGTCGGAGCTCTCCGGATGGAAACGTGGAACACAAGAAAACACAAAACCAAGGCATGTTCCATGTTCCTCACCCTGTGGTGTTGGGTCCTCTCCAATCCTTCCTCCCGCTGCCCCTCCTCCCTCCTCCTCACCCTGCCTCCCCGTCCCTGTCGCTCCTCTCGGCATGTCAAGACTGTCGGCACACCCCTCTCACGCTTCGCGGCCCCCTAGAAAACTCCACCAAAGCCCCCAGAAGGGCGGGCGCATGTGGTTCTCCACGCCCCTCACACGCATCGCGGCCCCACAGGGAGCTCCACCAGAGGCCCCCAGGAGGAGGTTTTGCATGCGGATCTCCACGCCCCTCACACGCTTCGTGGCCCCATAGGGAGCTCCACCAAAGGCCCCCAGGAGAGGGGCTCGCATGCGGTTCTGGACCCACTGTGGAACACCCCTCACGCGCTCCGTGGCCTCGGCACATGCCTCACGCGGTGTGGCCCCGCGAGCAGCTGCCACCCGCTCTGGCACACCCCACGCGCGCGCCGTGGCCCCCACGGAGAGCTCCACACACGGCAGCGTGGGCCGCGCGAGCCCCCCCCCCCCCGGCCCACTCTGGCACAACTTGACTACCTACCAGACCACCCCAACCCAACCCGAAGGCCCGAATTTCGGGTTGGGGGGGGTATGGGCTCCATATGTGTTTTTTCGATGTTCCCGGACCCCCCCCCACTAGAAATCGAGGGTAAATCTGAGCCTTCGGGTTGGGTTGGGGTGGCTTGGTGGGTGGTGACAACTCCTGCTCGCTTCGTGGCCCCACGGGGAGCTCCACCCGAAGGCCCCAGAGGCACAACTCGCACGCGTCCTCAGGACCACTTCGGCACACTCGCCATGCGCTTCGAGGCCCCACCGGGAGCTCCACGCAAGGCCCCAGTGGCGGGGCCCGCACGCGCCCCAAGGCCCATCTCGGCACAACTCTCGCACGTTCCGTGGCCCCACGGGGAGCCCCACTGAAAACGGTGCTCACAAAAAGGCACTAACAACTGCATCATACGGTTGGGTCCTTCGCCGAGAAAATTAAAATGTTCAATCCGTGACTCCGCGATTGCAAACGTGTAATTGCTGAAGGTTTGAAACCGTGACTCCAGAATTGCGAGCTCCACTAGTAAGTCGTACTATCCGAAGGTCTGGATGTTCAGTGCTTTCATGTTTGTATTGTTCAATCTCGCGCCGCAGGCCCAAACCAATTCACGAACGAAACCGTCGACTTGGCCGATCACGTGGACGTGGAAATGCGCGGGGATAGACAAACTGGAGGGGAACTCGCCTGGGGCTGGAAACATAGATCTGGCCAATCTCACATGTCCCAGCTTCCTTGTAGCCTCTGCTCCATGCCATCCCCCCATCCGGGAACTCTTCTCTTCTCGGCGCGGGACGCCAGGCTGAGATCCGAGGCATGCGCCGCATAGGAGGAGGTCCCCCCCCTCCCTGCACCCCTGGAGCGGAGGAGAAGGGGGGAGGAAGGCAGCATACGAGTGGAAGAGGAAGCGAGGGGCGGAAGGCAGGAGGCGGGGCAGAGGCGCGGGAGAGAGGGAGGAGAGGGCTCGGAGGGAGGAGATGGGCAACTACAGTCGGGCTGCTGAAAGAAGGAACGCTAAATAAGGAACGAAGCCCCTCCGTGGCTTCAAAAAAGCCTGGGTGCACGAGAAGGGCTGGAGGAACAACCACGGAAGCACGTCAGGAACGTCGAGCCCCTTCCGAATCAAGCCTGTTCCTTGTTCCAGCGTCTTGGCTGCACCAGGGACACAGGGGACACACTGTACAAGAGCGGCGGATGATGACGAGGCGGAGGACTCATCCACCGCAGGAGCGAGCATGGCCGCAGGGAGAAGGCAAGTGCGGCAGGAGGACAGGCAGGCAAGCCTCGAGGTTGATGGAGCGAGGTCGGGCAGGGTCATGGGGGGGGGCAGTCGAATGGGGTCAAGTGAGTTCGAGCACCATCGGAAGTTAAGCAGAGGGGGCAAAGAGAGACAGAGAGAGAGAGAGAAAGAGAGACAAAGAACACACAAAAAAAAACAAAAAACAAAAAAAAAAAAAAGTGTCGACGGTCCGCGCGAATTTCTTGGATTTGCGCTGGGCCCCCCTCCCTGGCGCGCGGAGCGCGCCAGGGGGCGGCACCGGAGGCGCCGCCAGCGGGCCCCAGCGCGGAGCCGAGAAATCCGCGCGGAGCGCCGAAAGTTTATGTCTATGTGCTTTTCTTCTTCGAGCACACACAAAACAAAACACCACACATACACACAGACAAACACACTTTTGATCTGCAAGGCGAGAGCGAACCTCTTCCGCTAAAAGCTCGGCGGGCTACGCACAGCCTTAATTAGGGCGACAGGGCACAGCCACAGACACACACACACAATGTGTTAAAACTGTTCGCTCTGCACGGCTGGCCTGTCACTCGGCATGCATACTCCAGACCATCGATGCCCGTCCTCCTCACTGTGTTCGGTCATGCCTCCCTTTGGGGGTCTATATCTTCCTTGTCTGCCTCGTGTAATTAGCTGGAGCGGCCCCTTACAATCCGCCGACCCTGTCGGCGTGTGGAAGAGGCTGTCCCGTTTGACTCGTCGAAATTGAGCAACGTTGTAGTTGAGTCGAAGGGAAGCCCCTTCCCTTTGATCCCTTCCCCGCCAGGGGGGGGGGGAAGGTCTCTGGGGTGGGGTCCCAGGGGGGGTCCTGGGGATGGGTCCCGGGGAGATCCCCGGGCAGATACGACTCCCCCAGTTGCGGTTCGGGGGCCCAGAAAAGCCCCAAGACGCGGCAAAAGTGCCCCAAGATGTCCTCAAGACGGTCTTCGAGGGCCCCGAATCGCCGAAGTGTCGGTCCAAGTCGCCAAAGTAATCTCCAGACGGCTCAAAAGGTTTCCAAACCGCCCCAAGAGGCCTCCAAGAGGACTTCCAAGACGGTCCTAAGGGGCAAGAAACTTAGATTTCCCATAGGCTTTTGAACGATTTCAGCATTCTCGCCTTGTCAGCTTCCCGACGCTCCAAAACCAGGCCAAGAGGCATCCAAAACCGCCCCAAGATGGCTCAAGAGGCCTCCAAGAGAGCTCGACAACGACCCAAGAGGGCCCCAAGACCGCCCAAGAGGCCTCCAAGACAGCCGAGGAGGCCCCCAAGACGGCTCAAAGAGGGAGCCCAGACGGGGGACCCGAACGGACATTTCGATCCCTTGGCCTGAGAAGGTCTCAGGAAGCCCCCCGAGGCCCCTCAGAAGCCCCCCATGAGCCCCCAAGAGGCCCCCAAGAGACACCCAGGAAGCCCCAAGAGGCCCCCACGAGGCTCCCAAGCGGCTCCGAAGAGCTTCCCAAGCGGCCCCCAAACTACCCCCAAGAGGCCCCCGAGAGCGCTCGCCGCTCGTCGTCGTCGTCGTCATTCAGGGTCGGCGGCACCGGCTGAAAGGCCTTCGCGATAGGAGGAAGAAAACCTAACAGGGGCAGGGAGAAAGCCAGGAAAGGATAAGAAAACGAGAAGGGGGGCGGTTAAGAGAAAGGGAGAAGGATGGAGGGCGCAGAAGGTTGGCAGGAGGGGAGGGGAGAGGAGCAGCGAGCCTGGCAGGCGCACCCTGAGGGGCGGGCCTGCCCCGACGGGCGGGTCTGGCGGGGGGAAACCCGACGGGAGTGTCGAGCGGGCGGTGCACCAGAGCGGGCGGGCGAGCTTCCCATCACGTGGACAGGCGGACCCCGAGGGGCAGGCCGTGGGCCCTGGCGGGCGGGCTCGGCGGGCGGACCCGTACAGGCGGACACGGGACTGACAACCACCCCTCGAGAACACGAGGCCCTCCGCTGGCCAAGGCACACAGAGAGCATCCAAGGGCACCCTCCCCAGGGATGCACGACAACACCCAACAAGCACGAAGAACACTCGCCCTCCCCGAGTCCCGGCTACACGTGAGAGTGACCCTGGGTAAGAGTGACCTTGGGTGCGCGGCAAAAACGGGGGACGCGGGGTGGCCAACACACGAGCGCGCAAGACGCTGCCACCGCATCGCGTTCTAGGATCGGGATAAATCGCTCCAGAGCGTTCCGGAGCGCTCTCAGAGCGTTCCGGAACGCTCTGGAGCGGCCGCGGCGCCCAATACATCCTCCGAACCCGCCGATTCTCAGAGATTTCGAGTGATCCCGATCCGATGTTGTCCCGATCTTCGTGTCGTCTTAGCACCGAAGGTCACTCCGGCGAAAGGTCACTCTTACGTCTGGTCGAACTCGCCCTCCCCGGATCGAGCTCGAGCTCCGACCCCCGGGTCCGACTGCAACGGGCGGGCCGGGCGGGCGGGCCCTGCAGCAGTCGGGCCGCGCGGGCGGGCGGGGATTCTTCCAGGCAGGCGCGCGCGCGCGCGGGCCCGGGCGCGGGCGGGTCGCGCGAGGGGGGGGAGCCCTGCACGGGGCCGTGCGAGCGGGCGGCCGGGGCCCCTTCCCGAGGCGGCCCGGCGCGGCATCGAAGCGACCGTCGTCTCAGCAGCGCTCAGGCGTCCGTTCCCCCTGCGTTCGTCGGCGTCGTGCGTTCACGTCTTCGCGGGGTGGTCCGAGATGCTCCTCGAGGGTCCTCGCAGGGGGCATGCACGCGTAGACTGTGCGGAAGCCTCGGGCGTGGGCACGAGTGGTGAGTAGAAATTGTGAAGACGCTTCGCGCGAGAGCACGACTCCTGGACGTCGATAAAGCAGCACTTCAGTAAGTTGGAAGGAAGTCTTGGGCGAGAACGTCATCCGAGAGTAGTGTGAGCGCGTTGGCCGCGGCCCCGGAGGCAGGGAGAGGGAGCAGAGAGGAGAAAGCCAGAGGGAGCAAACGAAGAGGAGGCGAGAGGGGGCAGGGAGGGCAGGGTGGAGAGGTGAGAGCCGAGGGCGAAACAGACGGGGCAGTAGGGGGGGGGAGGGGGAGAGAGAGTGAGAGAGAAAGAGAGAGGGAGAGAGAGAAAACAAACAAAAAAAAAAAAAACTGGCGGGCGGACGCGAACGGACGGGGCGGCGGGCGGATCCCCCGCATGGCTGGGTCTCGGGCGGGCAGGACACCCGAGCGGGCGGGCGGGCGCCCTGCGCAGCGCGGGCGGGCGGGCCCCGGCGGGGAGGGCCGGGCCGGGCGGGCCACGCGAGCGGGCGGGCGGGGCACCCGAGCGGGGCACTCGAGCGGGACGGCCGAGGAGGGCGGGCGGGTCGGGCGCGCGGGGCCCCGCACGGGCGGGTCGGGCGGGCGGGGCCTCGGCGCGAGCGCCGTGGGGTCGGAGCGCGTCTCGGGCGAGAGCACGCCTCCGGAGCGGAGTGTGCGCGGAAGTCTCGTGCGGGAGCGCGAGCTGGGGCGCGAGTGGCGAAGACATCTCGCATCCGGCGGACGCCCGTGCTTGTAGCCCTGGGCCCACGGGCACGACTTGAGCCCCATGGGGAGGCCTGTTTAGTTTAAAAAGACGGTGGGCACCGGGCGGGGCAGAATCAGCAACAGCAAACGAGCAAATTAGGAAAAGCGGTGAAGGAGCAGGAGGAGGAGGAGGAGGAGGAGGAGCAGGATGAGAAGAAATAGGAGGGGGGGAGGAGGAGGAGGAGGAGGAGGAGGAAAAGGAGGAGGAGCAAGAGGAGAAGGAGGAGGAGGAGGAGGAAAATGGGGCGCGAACGAAGGATCATGGCAAGAGGCGGGGGGGGGAAGCAGGCGCACGGCGCGCGGGGCCAGTCTGGATCGTCGACGTACTCCACCGCGCTGGGGTCCTCCTCCCACGCGCGGGGCCGACGCGGCGCCGCCCACTCGATCCAGCTCAGGGCTGGACACGGGGCCGCGCATCCTCGTCCTCGGGCCCCGATGTGCTCATGCCCCCCCTTCCGCCCAAGGGCGAGCCGCCACTCTGCCTGCAACTTGCTTGCCCCGTGCGCTCGAGTAGCTCGGCAAGGCGGTGCGCAACACCGCGCCTGGAACGCGCACCCTGGATGGTACGCGCACCCTGGCCAGGTGCAGCAGAGTCGCTGGAGGCTGCTGCTCATGCACAAGCGCGCACGGGCACGCACTGCACGAACCATCCAGCGCAGGATGTGCTCGGACGCAGGCCACGCAAACCAGACTTGCACCTCAAGCTGCACTTGTACCACTCTCTTGGGGGAGCCGAAGAGTGCCGATACCACCACTCCCCTGACCTCTCCAGGGGCGCGTTCTGACCAGGATCTCAAGTCGAACCCAGCAGCGGCGGCAAGGTTAGGTGTGCAAAATCCGAGCCATAATTTAATATTTTTGTGTGCGTGTGTGTGTGGTTTTTGTGTTTTTTGTTTTAATGTTCCGTCCGGTGTTTGTTTGTTTTTAATGTTTGTTTGTGTTGTTTGTGTGTTGAGTAGTTGTGTTGTGTTGTTTTGTGATGTTTGTGTTTTGTTATGTGGGAGGGATCTGTCGCGGTCGATCGCCGTGGGGGTTCGACTGCCGCCCCGGCGCGGATCGCCCCCGCCAAAGTTCCGTCAAAAGAGCTTAGGCAAGGGTTTTTCCCGTAAGCGCCCCCGCTCGCCTGGGAGGGTGCGGGGGGTCCTGGATCGCCTGGGGGGGGTCCAGGACGGGCCGACTCGCCCGGGGGGGGTCGGTCCGAGCGGTGGGGTCGCCAGGGGGGGTCTCCGCCGCTCAGTTCTGCACGAGTCGCCCGGGGTGGTCTCGCGCGGGAACAGCCTTCGCGAATCGTCCAGGGGGGTTTCACGGGGCGAGGTAGCCCGGGGGGCGCCTCAGAGGACAGCGCACGGCGCGAAGGATTCACGCGAATCTTTCGCGGGACTCTCGCGAATTTTTCGCGGGGGGCCCGGACTCTCGCGAATTTTTCGCGGGAGGCGCAACGGTTTGGACAGTCGCGCAGGGGGGGGGGGGGGGCGAAGAAGAGAGGAGGGGAGGTCCGATGCCAAAGCCTCGAGAGCCACCTCTGGGGCCAAGCGAATGACGGACCATTAGAGCAAGGAGCGGCTAAGGATAGAGAAGGGGGGCGAAGGATCAGAGCCGGAGGGGAGCGCGAGCGCCGCACCGAGGAGCAGAAGCGGAGAGAAAAGGAGTTCTCCGGTTTATCACACCAAGAGAAGGCCAGGCGAGGTTGATGACTGAATTAAGGCTCTGACTTTGCACACACACACACACACACACAAGCAAGGGCCTCCCAGGAACCTCAAAGAGGGGAACTGGGCAGCAGCGGTATGGGTACGCTTTCCTCCTCTGATTTCTGCAGCACGCCCTACACGGGCACGACCCGCGCACGCGTGAAGTGCACGCGGCTCGTGCCAGTATCGGTCGCGCCACGCGCTGCCACACCCGCCCCATCGGGAGGTCCCTGTGCGGGCTGGTCCATGCTCGCCCTGCCTCTGCTCCTGCGCTGTCACGCATGACTGCCTGTCTCCTGTGGAGCTAGGTCTTCTGGCTGCCCAGGCGGCATTCCTCCCTCTTCCGCTCCCTTGCATGCCGAGTCGGCACCCCCAAGAGGCCCCCCCCGAAGCTCGGAAGCTCCAGGAGGCCTCCCAGAGGCCAAAATCAGGCCCCACGAGGCCCCGAAGAGGCCAACGAGAGGCCCCCACGAGGCCCCAGGAAGCCCGAAACAGGTCCCAGGAGGCCCCGAGAGGCCCCTCACAGAGGGCCCCCAAGAGGCTCCAAGGAAGCACTGTGGAAGCCACAAGATGGCCTCAAGAGACCTCTTTTTCCTCCTCCTCCTCCTCCTCCTCCTCCTCCTCCTCCTCCTCCTGTCGCTTTCTCTTCCAGGTGTTCCCCCAAAGGGGTTCACGACAGCTGGTCGAACACAGTCACGTCACAGTCCAATAGATTTACCAAACGTTGAGCCAATGTCTGGCCGCATGGACGCTCACAGCAGACAGGGGGTCACGGTGACTCGCCGCAGGCGCCTTTGATACTATCAGCCACGCTGCCTCTCTGAGCACAAAGTGGGCTTGCCCTAAGGTCCCTTGCCAAGGGCTCCCAACTTCGCGCTTCGCGCTGCGCGAAGCGCGAAGTGCGAATAACTTCGCGCTCTCGCGCCGCCTCCCAGGGTAGAAGGGGAGGATGAGGAGGAATCGGAGCCGAACCGCGAAGCGCGAAGCGCGAATAACTTCGCGCCCTCGTGGGAGCCCTTGCTTGCCCAACCCCTGGACCCTCCGTCCTCAGTCCTGAAACTTTCAGGGGCCCGGACCCACAGTTGAAAAACGTGGCGGGGCTCCCAGCGTGCACCCTGGGGCTCCCCGCGTGCCCCCCTGAGCTCCGGCAAGTGCTGCCGCATGACATCTTCAGGCCCAAGAGGGCCCCAAAAATGGGCCAAGAGGGCCCCAAGCCCCAAGCGGCCTCCAAGACGGTCCAAGGTCCAAGGGGAGCCCGAGACGCCCAAATACCGGCCCAAGACGCCCAAGATGGCCTCACAACGACCGCAGAGGCCTCCCCGAAGCTCCAAGAGGCCTCCAAGAGGCCTCCCAAGAGGGCCCCAAGAGGCAAACATTAGTGATCTTCGAATTGGTTCTTGAAGGATTTGTCGTTCTCGCCTTCTCTGCCCTCCGACGCTCCAAGACGGCCGAGAGGCCCCCAAGACCACCCAAAAACTGCCCAAGAGGCCTCTAAGAGGACCCCGAGACGGCCCAAGACCGCTCGAAGACAACCCGCCAGGCGCTCAAGACAGCCCAAAAGGGCCCCAAGACGGCCCCAAAAGGGGACTAAGAGGAGGGACACGAACCGAAAATCCGACCCTTCTGCCCAAAGAGGCCCCCGGGATGCCCCAAAGCGGCGCCCAAGAGGCCCCAAGAGTCCCCCAAGAGGCCCCCAGGAGGCCCCCAGGAATCCCCCTGGGGCCCCCGAGAGGCCCAAAAGAGGCCCCAAGAGGCCCCAATTCGGCCCCCAAGACGCCTCCAAGCCGCCTTCCAGAGGGCCCCGACAGGCCTCCCACGAGATCCCAACGACTTTCCAACAGGATTCGCACCCGCAATCCAGGCATGGCGGCGGGATGGACAAGGCGTAGAGAGACTGAGGAAGGTGTACAACACGGTGTATGAGCATACACGCACACACACACACACACACCCTCACACACACACACACACACACACACACAGGTTCACGCACACACACACACACACACACACACACACACACACACACACACACACACACAAAAACACACACACACACACACACAAACACACAAACCCACACACACACACACACGCACACATCGGCCTGCAACGCTACACGAACGAACCGTACGACTGATGACCTGCAGCACGGGGCCATGTCAGCAGGTCGACACGTCGGCGAAGAACCGCCCCCCCCCCTCTCCAGCAGCTCGCAGAGGACATTGTGGGCATTGGAGAACATGTCCTGGGCGCGGCCCGCCAGGCCAGATCGCCAAGGGCGTCAGAACAGCAGGGGGGGGCAAATAAGGAGGCCTCCAGGGAGCGGCGGACAGGTGCAATCGGCGCTCACAGGAGAGGAAGACGAAGAGACGCAGAGGGAGAGGTTGCAGAGGAAGGAAAGGAGGAAGAGCAGGAGGCGGATGGCGGATGGGCAAGACGAGCAGGAAGAGAAGGCGGATGGAGGGGCAGGAGGACCAGCCTGAGGAGGTAGTGCCTTGCATGACCGAGCCTGTGCGAACTTGCCTGTAAAGGTGGCATGCTGCCGCCCGCGGCCCCCATGATCCTGGAGCAAGATATCGCACCCAAGTCCTATAGCGGAGATCAGTCCACAAGAAACCTTCCGCAATAACCCTACCCTGAGACCCCAGGACGTCCATCGATGTTCGGTGTGGGAGCGTCACGCGTTCCATCGCAAAACCATCGAAACCCAAGAAACCCAGGGCACCCTGAAGACAAGCAAGGTGTTTAGGGGCATCGGCCCCCAATGTACTGGGGAAATCCAGCATGTGAGATGTTTCCCCCTCCCCAAACCCCTTTCCTGGGAGCCCTGTCCGGTCGATGTGGAGGTGGGGGGATTCCCCCAGGTACCTGCCGAACGCATCACGCGGGGGCAGAGGGCCCCAAAACAGGCCAAGAGGACACCACGAAGCACACTGGACGGTCCAAGAAGGCCACGAGCCGCCGAAAGGTCGCTCGAAAACGCCCACGCTGGCCTCCAGACGGCCCACGCGGCCCCCAAGACGCCCCACGAAGCCTTCAATCGTCACCCCAAGACGGCCCCAAAGGGCAAAAATGGCCACACGTTCATGGGAAATCCTTTTTAGCACATTCGCCCCTCGTGCGAACACAACACCCAAGACAGCACAAGAAGCCCCCTGGGTCTTCACAAGACGGCCCACGAGGCCCCCAAGAGGGCTCTCCGACGAACCACGAGGGCCCCAAGATCGCTCAAGAAGCTCATAAAACACGCCAAGAGGGCACCAAAAGGCCTTTGGACGGTCCAAGAGGGCCATGAGCCGCCGAAAAATCAATCGAAAACGCCCACGTTGGCCTCCAGACGGCCGCCAAAGCCCCAAAGACGCTCAAAGAAGCCTTCACGAGGCGTCCCAAAACGGTCTCAAAGAGCAAACATCCATCATTTCCATGGGAAGCCTTCCTTTTCAGCGCGTTCGCATCTTCTGCGAACATAACGTCCAAGACACCCCGAGAAGGCTCCAGGGCCGCCCCAAGACAGCCCAAGAAGCCCCCAAGAGGTCTCTCCGACGACCCAAGAGGGCCGCAAGATCGCTCAAAAAATTGCAAAACAAAAACAGGCCAAGAGGGCACCACGAGGCCCTCTGGACGGTCCAGGAAGGCCACAAGCCGCCGACAGATCGTTGGATAACGCTCACGCTGGCCTCCAGACGGCCCACGCGGCCCAAAAGACGCCCCACGAAACACTCAAGAGGCCTCCCGAGACGGCCTCAAAAAAACAACAACAATCGCCACATTCCCGCCAGAAAACGCGGCATTTTCAGCACACTCGCCTCTTGTACGTTTACAGCGCCCAAGACAGCCAAACAAAAATCCTGGATCGCCCCAAGACGACCCAAGAGGCCCTCACGAGGCCCTCAAGAGGGCTCGCAAACGGCCAAAGAGGGCCCCAACGCCGCTGAACAAACTCCACGAAACGGCCCAAAGGTCGTTCCAGGACAGCCCCAAGAGGGGGCCCACAGAGGGGAGCCCAAACGAACATTGCGATCCTTCGACCCCAAAACCGCCCCCAGGCTGTCCCGAAAGGCCCACCACATGTTCCCAGGGAGTTTCGACAAGCCCGAACAAAACAAGTCCCACGAGGCCTCCGGGCGGCGTTTTAGCGTTTCAAAGCCGTCTCCCAAACGCCCCCGAGACGCCTCCCAGAAGACCCCGTTTCCCGTCCGCGTGGCCTCAGACGTGCAGCCCGCGGCCTCAGATGCGCCGGAGGCCATTCGACAATCATTGTGTTGGTATTGCGACATGGGCCCGCCGTTCCTATACGCGGGCTGTCGCCCGACCCCCGATGCGTGCACGGTGGCCACTGAAAAAGGTCAGCCGTAAAATTGAATACCCCCCGTGCGGGCTGTGCCGCGATTGCCGCGGGCCCCGGGGGAATCGCTGGCGCGCATGTAGGTTGTCCAAGAAGGAGGGCCCCGACACTCGAGACGCCCCCGACGACTCCCAAACGTATTTTGACAGCTGCCCGCCGTCTGTAAACGTGGGTTCTCGCCCGTTCCCCATGCGCGCATAACGACAACTGGCAATGTCGCGGATTGGAATTCAATGGGTGTGGCCTCGTGGCGCCCTCTTGGGAGGGCTCTTGGTGGTCTTTTGGGGCGTTTTGGCGACTTGGGCCGTCTGGAAGCTCCTGGGCCGTTCTGGAGGAGTTTTGGGCGACTGGAGGCCCTTTTGGGCTGTCTTTGGGGCCTCTGGGGGCCATCTGGGCTGGATGTGGGGTCCGCAATCCTTTCATGACGCGTTTGGGCTGGGCCCGTGGGAACTGGGCGGGACCCCCTTCCTCCAAATCAACCGGGCGGGGGTCTGGGGGGAGCGGGCGGGGGAGGGGTGAGCATCTCACACGCTGAGGGCACTCCAAATGGTCGGGGGATTTTGCCGCCACGTGCACATCGCAGTGTTTTTTCTCTGAGAGGGATGATGGGCCTGCACGCACGGGGTTGTATGATGCCCCCTGCCGCCGTGTAACAGACCAACACTGATGGCTGGACGCGCGACGATGATCCAGGCCATGTCGCAAAATGCGCTTTGCCTTGTAATTCTCGTGATGACTGAGATGGTTGGAGGGGATGTCTTCGACTGAGGTCGGGCGTCGGTCGAGTGGGCGGGTTTCTATGAACACGGAGCAGAGGTACACCATTTTCCAAGGAGCAGAAGGGGTTCAGAAGACAGGCTTCCCTAACCCATTGACGCCCAGATGTCTTGTGGGATGTTGTTTGCGGGCGGGTTTGTTAGTTTCGTGCAGGCCGCGGGAGGGCCCTCGCCGTGGCAGAGTGTAGGTCTGAGTATGGTTAAGTGGTCCGAGCGTGAGTGATCTGAGTGTACTTGTGATTTTGAGTGGCCTGGCTGCATCTGGGTGTGGCATCGCCCGCGCCGCCAGTAGTGATTTCGGCGGCTGTCATGCTCAGTGTTCGTCGTGCACGAAAGAGGAAGCGGGCGACAACCTACGGTTGCAAACGGTGGGCATTTGTCGAACTACGATTGGGAGCCGTCGTGGGCGTCTTGAAGCGAGATGTGGGGCGTGTCAGGGCCGTGTTGGACAGTCTACCGCGTGCTCGCGAAGGGTTTCCGGGGCCCCCTGGCAATAGCGGCGCCGTCCGCCCCGACTCGTATTCGAAAGCTCGTGCCATGGTTCGGCGCCTTTTTTGTGGCCTGTGGGACCGTCGTGGCGCGGTCGTAGGAACGCTTAGATGTGAAAGAAGCGTCCGATATCAGAAACAGTAGGAACCCGAAGCACCCTTGAAACCTGCGGGACGTTGACCGACATGGACATTGGAAGCCTCCTTGGGAGGCTGTGTTGGGGCTCTCGTCGAATGTTTGTCGTGCTTCCGGGCCGGGGCCGTTTTGGCATCGTCGTAGGCGTCTTGGAGCGATATGTGGTGCGTGCGGAGGCCCTCTTGGGCAGCGTTCCGTATGCTCTCTTGGGGTTTCCGGCAATCGCGGCACCGCCCGCACTTGCAGTAGTGATTTCGGCAGGTTTGCAGGATTGTTGCGTTCTCGCCTGTTCTGTTTCCCGACGCTCCACGCCGGCCCAAGGGGCTCCCGAAATCCCCCCAGACGGCCCCAGAGGCCTCCAAGAAGGTCCCTACACAAATTAAGAGGGCCCCCACACGGCCCCAAAGACAGCCTCTAAGGAGCTCCGAGAGGCCCCCCACAGGCCCCCATGAAGCGCCCAAAAGTTCACCAAAAAGCCCCCCCACAGGCGCCCACGAGGACCTCAGCAGCAACCCACCGCAACCGCCAGTTCCCCAAGGAGTCGGCGGTGTGGCGCAAGCCCAGGAATCTGAGGTTCTGCGGCCACCACTGCTCGGGCAATGCCTCAGAGGTCTTGCTGGTCGTGCACTCGCGCGTTGGAAAAGTACTGTTCGTGAGGATTGCATGAGCGTTCGCTGTTGACCCCGTCAACGAGATGCTGCCAGCCGTTGGGCACTCGCTCCGCACATACGGGGTCGACGAGCTACCGCAGCGTGCCCGCAATCCCACTTTCTGGCGAGACGGGTTATCTGGGGAGGGGGAGGTGCCGGCCGAAAACCTAACTTTTTCGCTTTGGGCAGCCCCACGATGTCCGCGCACACAAATAATGCGTACACTGGGGGCGCGCATCAAGAAACCATCTGCTTTTCGTCAGGGTATCATGGGTTTCTTCGCTCCGCGCGCTGCGCGGTGGCTTCCCGTAGCCGAGGAAGGAGCGGCTGCGTTCAGGGTGCTCCAGGTTTCCCCTCAGGTGCACCTCGCGCACGGGTTCTCAGTGTTGAGTTTCTTGCGAGGGTTTCTTGCGGCCGCGCCCGCACTGTACCCCCTTCACAAATGTGCAATCGACAAGGTCGACGCATCTGGGAGGACGAGGTAGGGGGCCAGGCGGGCCCGATAACATGGGTGACCGCAGGACGCAACAAAGAAACACTCCCAGACCGAGGCTGGAGCAGATCGCGCAACGAGGGCCAGCTTGACTGGGCGGGGGGGGAGGCGATGGAGGAGGAGGAGGAGGAGGAGGAGGAGGAGGAGGAGGAGGGGAGCATGCGAGAGTATGCTGAAGATCTACTCCACCGCCTAATAAGGACGCCACCCTCCGCAGCCAGAAAAGAAGGATCGGCTGGCCAAGGAGAACCGCGAGCGGCGAACGCCTCTGACGCCATGGGTGGAGAAGGGCACAAGGGGGGGAGGGGAAGAAAACAGAGAAGAGGAAGAAGAAGACGAAGAAGAAGAAGTAGAAGGAGGAGGAGGAGGAGGAGGAGGAAGAGGGGGATGAGAAGGAGAGGTGGGAGAAGCTGGCTGGAAGAGAAAAGGGACAGACAGAGGGCCAAACGCCCGGGGGCGCGTCGGCAGGCGCTACTCCAGCGCGGTCACGTGTCGTCCCCAAGCAAATGTGTCTTGGACAAGGCCCTCCCACATATGATTTTCGCCAGAAGCCTGTGGCACGTGCGGTAGTAGAACCTTAGCCCATTCCAATCTGGGCCGCCCAGCCTGCTGGAGGAACACTTTGAATCTCGGAGCGGATCTCCAGGCCCTGCTCGTGCAGATGTTCCCGATCGGGCACTTGCCAAGTGCATGCGTCGAGGAATAGTGTCGCGTCTGGGCCCGGATGCTCGCGGTCGACACTCGCGGAAACGTGGGGCGCAGGATCCCGCCGAGGGCTCGCAGCATCGGGGACTGCGCCCCGAGAGGAAAAGAGCAGGAAGAGGCGGGGCGGGAGGAGGAAGGAGAAGGGCGATGAGGAGAAGACGGAGGTGGTCAGAGGAAGGAAAAACTGCTCAAGCATAGACTTCTGGCGCTCCGCGCGGAGTTCTTGGATCTGCCCCCTCCCCGGCGCGCCTTCGGCGCCAGGGGCGGCGCCGAAGGCGCTGCCGAGGTGCCCAGCGCGGATCCAAGAAACCCGCGCGGAGCGCCAAAGGTTTACGTTCATGGCGCAAGATGGAATTGGCGGGGCGCACAAGGGGGTGGAGGGAGGGGGAAGGGCTTCCTAGAAGGAGGCTGCTTCGAAGAAGGCACTGGCCTTACATCTATAGATAAGGCCCGCGCCTTCTAAGAAGCAGGGGTGCTTCTAAGAAACCCTCCCCCCTCCCCACCCCCCACCCCCCTCTGCGCGTGGCTGAAGGAAGGAGGAAGGAGATGAGGAGAAGAAGCCGGCGGAGGAGGAGGCAAAAGCGGATGCGGTGTACAGTGGAGGCTAGCCCACAATAGAAACCTTCCACACGAAGCCCAACCCTGAGACCCCAGGACGTCCATCGATATTTGGCGTGGGAGCGCCACGTCTTCCATCACAAACCATCGAAACCACAGAAAGCCAGGGCACCCTGGAGGCAAGCAGGGTGTTCCTTGGCATGGGCCTCCACTATGACATAAGAGGACGGGGATGACAAGGAGAAGAAAGAAGCTCACGGGAGTGGCCAGGGGGCCAAGTCGGCGCGGAGCCACCCTGCCGCGCGGTCCCTGTCAGACTTGCCGCCGTGCACGATGCACGGCGCCTCGGGCGGGAAGCCTTCCTTGGCGAGGCCCGAATCCTGCCGGGGGACCAGGGCTGGGATTAGCGCACCCAGGCCAGCAAAACAGGCAACCTCCTCCTCCTGCTCACCCGTCATCCGTCCGTCCTCCTCCTAGGCTCTCCTCCCACATCCTTCCTTCCACGTCCTCCCTCCTCCTCCTCCTCCTCCTCCTCCTCCTCCTCCTCCTCCTCCTCCTCCTCCTCCCCCTCCTTCCCCTCCCTCCCCCTCCCTTCTCATTCTCCTCCGCCTCCTCCTCCTCCTCCTCCTCCTCCTCCTCCTCCTCCTCCTCCTTCCTTCTCCTCGTCCTCCTCCTCCCTTCCTCCTTTTCGATGTTGTTCGTCCCTCCTCCTCCTCATCCTCCTCCTTCTCCTCCTCCTTCTCCTCCTCCTCCTCGTGTTGCTGTTGCTGCTGACTTTGGGAACGTCAAGCGGCGCAGCCATCCGCCTCCATTCCTTCCACTTATGAATAACTCCTCCCTGTTGCACCCCGAGGCCAGTCGGAAGGGCGGGCTGGGCGTTTCGCTTACCATTTATCACTTACGAGCCTGAAGCTTAAAAGCGGGTAGCAGCTTCGAAAATGGAGGTCGGGTCGTTTTCAAAATGTGGCTCTCGCCTTGACAACGCGTACAGTCGTTTCAACGAGCTTTGCGGATTGAGGACAGGTCGTTTTCAAAATGCTGCGCTCGCCTTAGCGCCGCGCACACTCGCTTTCAAACTCTGCAAGAGTGTCACGGACTGAGAGCGGTTTCGTTTTCAAAATGTGGCATTCGCCTTAGCACCGCACACACTCGTTTCAAACAGTCGAGCTTCAAATATGGAGGGCTGGCCGTTTTCAAAATGTGTCTCCCGCCTTCGCGACGCGCGCATTCGTTTCAAACAAGTACAAGAGTGTCGCGGATGATCAAAGCTAAGCTTTCAGAACTAGTGTCTCGGAGCGGCTCTGGACTATCAGGGCGCAACAGTTACATTGATTCGCGGTGTCGAAGTCCCACGAATGGTGTTCTGACACGACTCAGGATCGTCAGGACGCAACAGTCAGGTTGATGCGTGGCGTCGAAGTCCTGAAAATTGTGTGTTCGCACGCGTCAAGATTTTCACACGGTCGTCCCCCAAAGGCGCGCTTCCCTCAGTGGAACTGAACCCTTGTAGGGCATATGAAAAGGGAGCTTGGAACGAGGGTGTATTCCAACATCGTTGATGAGTAGTAGGTTTGTACTAGTCCTCATCATCCTCCTCCACCTCCACCTTTTCGATCATCATTTCTTCCCCCTCCGATCCGCCCCGCACTGCTTCCAAGGAGGGGGACCCGCGCCAAACGCCCATCGCGCAATCAACTCCAACACAATTCTGCATCTTGGACACCCGCCAGCGTCTTGAAACAGAGCACGAAATCACGCAATTAGCAGCATCAATCTATGACTGCGAACTGCGGGATGAGCACCTGGATGGAGGGCCCAAGGAAAAGAGAAATGCCTGACGCGCCTCAATCATGGCATCCGAACCAGCCGTCCTGAAGCGCTGGAACCGTGTGAGTTGTGCATGGGTATCCCATGCCAAACCTGCGCCATGGCGCACCGCCATCCAGCTGCTCCGCGGGCATCCAGCGCCACGCCCAAGCTGCCACAACCTCGCCCATTTCTCCGCATTGCCCCGCATCGCCGATACCTCGACGATGCGGCGCGATCCTCCGACACTATCTTGGAGGCCCAGAACTTGTTTGTCTTTTGCATAAAGGGGAGACCACCGCGAAGCTCCAATGGTGCTGCCACTGGGACGCGCTGCCTGCTGAAAGTGCCGGCCTGGACGGACAAATCCTGCTCCCCGCGGAAGCCAGCCACTGACAAGCGGAGCCACCCGTGACGGTTGTTGCCCGGGCGAGCGGTCGCGGATGGGGCGGACATTCGGGCAACTATACTGATACAAACTCGCTTAGAAGATGCAACAACGCAGAACTACCGGGGAGACGTAAGACTCGGGTACGGGGGACTCGAGTTGTCCTGACAGGGCCATCATGAAAATGACGAGACCCAACCTGAGACTCGACGCGAGCTCCCGCTGACACCCCACGGAAACTGAGCCGCCAGAATCCGGGACGCGCAATTCAACAAACGCTGGCAAACCCGAGTCACGGCTTACCCGAGTCTTGCGCTTCCCCAAACCTGCACCCACCTCCCCCCGCAGCATGCCTCGTCGCAGAGGACCCCAGCAGCCAGCAGGAAGGGGCCCTGGGACACACAGAACAATTTACACAAAGAAAAGGATTCCCCATAGTTTCCCACATGTTCTGGGTTTCTGTCTTCCCCCCCCCCCGCACACACACACTGCCCACATCTTCCCATTTCTTCCTGGCAGTGGACGATGCATTGTGCCCGTGTGTGTTTCCCCTCCTGAAAGCACGCCTCCTCGCAGAGGGCCCCTCACCAGCCTGGAACCTATCCCTATCCCCATGTTGGGCACCTCCTCATCACGATGCCACTCTCAGGGATTCCCCTCTTTTTTGAGGGCGGATCCCGAAGACTGTCATCGCCAATTTTGGCGTGCCAACCTTGGGGATAGGGATACACATTCGAGGCCGGCAGACCCCCGCAGCCCTGCAGGAGGCGCGGCGGGGCCGACGCCCGGGCCCGCGCGGAGGCCCAGGCGGGGGAGCGAGAGCGCCGAGCGCGGAGGCGCCCGCGGGCGCGGCCCAGGGCGCGGGCGCCGAGCGCGGGGCGGGCCGCAGAGGCGGTGCCGGCTGCGCGGGAGGGCGCAGACGGCTCCTCCGACGAGGGGGGCTCCTCCGACGAGGGGGGCCTCGATGCCCCCCGCGAGGGGGGGGGCTCCTCCGAGAGGGGGGGCCTCCTCCGAGAGGGGGGCCTCCTCCGAGAGCGGGCTCCTCCAGATAGGGGGCCACACGTGCGAGCCCCTGCCCCCCTATGCCCCCCCTTCGATTTCTGAGGGGGAGGGCGGGGTTCCCTTCGCTCGGGAGCTCCCGAGCGAAGCGAGCCCCACCCTCCCCCTCAGAAATCGAAGGGGGGGCATAGGGGGGCAGGGCTCGCATATGTGGTCCCCTATCCGACTGGCTTCGGCCTGTCCCAAGGAGCGATGAATAGGGAACGAAGCCCCTTGAGCTTCAAGGCATGACGTGCGAGGGACGATGAGCAAGACGTAACGCACAGGGGACGAGAAGTAACGCATGCAAGCCCGAGGAACGACCGCGCCCCTTTTGAAGAGTGAGTGTTCCTAATTCAAGCCGCTCACTGTACCGGCTTCGGCCGGTGGCGACATCCGAACCCCACCCCAGCCAACCATCGATTCTCCAGAGTCGGCGGGAGGCTGGAGCAGGGCTGGGGGAACAAAAAGTGGCATAAACAGAAGAACTCGGAGGTCCGCGCGAAAACAGAAGGACTCCCGGCGCCTGGCGCCGCCCCCGGCGCGCTCCGCGCGCCAGGGAAGGGGGTCCAGCGCGGATCCGAGAAATCCGCGCGGACCTCCCAGCTTTTCTGCTTATGCCATGATACTCGTTCGCCTAAGGGTCCGGACACTCCGCCACGTGGCCGACGGCGTCCGCATCTTGCCCCCGCCACCCGCCGAGGTGCCCGGATCGTGCATCGGCCAGGGCAAGGCTCGGCTTCCGCCGCCTCCCCACCCCACCGACGCCTTCGGGCCCAGGCCGACCGCCGCCCAGGGCTGCGAGCAGCGCGTGCCGGCAAGAGAACGCCGCGGCCCGCGCGAGGGTAAAACAGGGCTAGGATCGGGATAAATCGCTCCAGAGCGTTCCGGAGCGCTCTCAGAGCGTTCCGGAACGCTCTGGAGCGGCCGCGGCGCCCAATACATCCTCCAAACCCGCCGATTCTCAGAGATTTCGAGTTATCCCGATCCGATTTTGTCCCGATCTTCGCGTCGTTTTAGAGGGCCCTCCGTGCGCGGCCGAGGCCGCCAGCACCGCCACCCGTCGCGCGAGCGGCGCGCGGGGCTCCGCGCACGCCGCGAGGTGCGCCGCTCCGCCGAGGCGCCCGGCGGGCCCGCCGCGGCGCGGCTCGGCCGCGGCGGGCCGCGGAGCACGGAGGGCCGCCGGCCCTTAGCTGCGCAGGTGCTGCGGCACGCGGCGGCGGTCGCCGACGGAAGCCGCAGGCCCAGCGGGGCGAAGCGAAGCGAAGCGAAGCCCGCGTACAAGAGTCCACGCGAGGGGACTAGGCGGGGTGGGGGCCGGAGCGCCCCAGGAAGCATTACAGATGTATTGTCGTGAAAAGCTGTAATTCAAGGCCTGGCAAAAGTCAGGAAGCCAGCGTCAAGGCCCAGCGGGGCGACGAGGAGAAAGCGGGGTCTCACGCGGGACGGCATGGCAGCTCTGCGCGGCGGCGTTCTCGCGGGCCGCCGCCGCGGTAGGCCACATTTGGAGGCGAGGGCGCTCCCGCGCGACCTCGCGCGGGCAGCTTGCGCACGGACGTCGGCGCAGGCGACCCCGCTCGTCTGCGTCACCCTTCTGGCAGGCCCACGACCAACACCCAGAAATCTCAAAGGCAGGGAGGGCCCTGCTGGAAAGTCCAGCTCGCTCGGCCGAAGGCCTGCCCTTTGGAAGGGTCCTCCCTCTGCCCTCTCTCGTCTTCCTGCCCTGCGAACTTGTCCCTCCTTCTCTGTGCGACTCTCCACTGTCAGAGGCCTCCCAAAAAAGGCCCGGACAGATGGGGCCGGAGGATCTCGCCGCATCGCCGATGCATCGCCGATGCATCGGCGACGTCGGCGACGCATCGGCGCTGGTTGCGAGGGGGGAAAATCGGGCTCCACATCGAGCCGCATCGGCGGTGCATCGTCGGTGCAATCTGCGATGCGGCGCGACCCTCCGACACCATCTAATCTGACCCCATCTGGGAGGTCAATAACTGTCAATTCAATCACTTCCCCGGTGGCCTGTGACAGTGTCAGCCAGTGCACCGACGGCGCGGAGGGCGCGCTGGGCCCCAGCCCGGCAGTAGCGTTCCACGTCCCGTCGTAGCCCTCCCCCCGAGCTGCGAGTTCGGACAGGACAGCATGCGACCAGGGAAAGAGAAGGAGGGCAGGACCACGATGGAGGGAGAGTGACGAGGAGGACGAAGAGAAGCAGCAACAGCAGCAGCAACAGCAAAACGAATGAAGCCCGACCGTTAGAACGCAAGACTTCTTGGCTCGCCGTGCGAAAGGTAGCTTATCGGGCGAAAGGCACGCGGCCCCAGCATCGGGTCGATAGCTCGAATCGGATCGGCGCAAGCGTCGAATCGGTAATTAGGCATCGGCTGAAAGTCGTCTGCGGCATCGAATCGGCAATAGCAAAGCTAGGTAGATTGGAGTGTCCGCATCCAACCAGGCTGTCTAAAATCAAAAGGATCGTATTTTGCACTGTACCGACGCGTCGACACCGAACATCCACCAATATTAATCAGCTGGTTCAACAATGACGGAAAGCTTGTGTTTACCACCTCTTTGACCTCAGCTAAAGCGCGCCCATTAAAGAAGAATCCAGCGTGCAATCTAGTATTCGATTGTCCTTCCACCAGTGGAAACCGGACCGCGTGAAAACAGAGCGGAATCGAAATCGAAAGGCAGGGGGGCAAGGAAGAAGGTGCAGGAGGTGATCGGCCCGACTTTCGTCGTCGCACGTCGTCGTCGTCGTCGTCGTCGTCGTCGTCGTCGTCGTCGTCGTCGTCGTCGTCGTCGTCGTCGTCGTCGTCGTCGTCGTCATCGTCGTCGTACGCACTTTTTCGTTGCACGACGTCGTAGAGACGTCGTTCGCGTCCTCTTCCCCTCCGCGGCACGCGTCGTCCCACGCCACGTCGGACGTCGTCCACGTCGATCGTCGTCGGCGGCGAGCCCCTCGTACGTAGCACCTGGGGAACCATGTGGAGGCCCTGGGCCCCATGGGGGTCCCTTGGGGCCCCTGGGGGCCCCTGGGAATCCCGGGGGGGTCCTCCTCCTCCTCCTCCTCCTCCTCCTCCTCCTCCTCCTCCTCCTCCTCCTCCTCCTCCTCCTCCTCCTCCTCCTCCTCCTGGGGGACCCTGGGGGGAGGGACCCTGGGAGGCCCTGATGGCCCCTCAGGGGGCCCCGGCGGTCCCTCAGGGGCCCTGGGAGCCCCTGGGGGGCCCCCGGGAGGCCCTGGGGGCCCCTGGGGGCCCTCGTCGCCGCTGTCGCCCCGCAAGAGGATCTGGGGGCCCGAGGGAGGCCGTCGGGAGGCCCCGGGAGGTCCCGAGGGCCCGCGGGAGGCCATGAGGGCCCCTGGGGGCCCTCGTCGCCGTCGTCGCCCCGCAAGAGATGGTCGAGATGAGCACCGAGCAGAGGCAATTGCTGCGGAGGCCGCGGCCGCGGCAAGACACTGCACGGAACGGCACTCTGGAGGGTTCGGGCTGACGATCGGGGCACCGTCGGGGCCTTCCTGGCGAATAGGATCGAGTCGGACCCCTGAGAGATCGGGCCGAGGCGTAGACGGAAAGCGCCCAAGAAAAGGTAGGGTACGGTTAGGCCGTGCAGGGGGGGGCTCTTTGCAGGGGATGGCTACAGCATGCTGCAAGGCACTCCTCATCCTCCTCCTCCGCCTCCTCCTCCTCCTCACCACCACCGGCATCATCGGCATCATCATCATCATCATCATCATCATCATCATCATCATCATCATCATCATCATCATCATCATCATCATCATCATCATCATCATCATCAGCATCAACATCAAGAACATGATCATGTTCCTCCTCCTCCTCCTCCTCCTCCTCATCATCATCATCATCATCCTCATCCTCATCCTCATCCTCATCCTCATCCTCATCCTCATCCTCTCATCATCATCATCAGCATCAGCATCATCATCACCATCATCATCATCATCATCACCATCACCATCATCATCATCATCATCATCATCATCATCATCATCATCATCATCCTCATCATCCTCATCATCATCATCATCATCATCATCATCATCATAATCATCATCATCATCATCATCATCATCATCATCATCGTCCACCTCATCTTCCTCCTCTTCCTCCAAACCCTCATATTGTTCCTCCTCCTCTTCCTCCTCTTCCTCCTCTTCCTCCTCTTCCAAATATTCCTCCCCTCCTCATCCTCCTCCGCCTCCTCCTCCTCGTCCGTCTCCTGTTCCGCCTCCGCTTTCCTCCTCCCTGAATTCAACTCATCCTCCTCCTCCTCTTCATAGTCCTCCTCTTCCTCCTCCTCCTCCTCCTCCTCCTCCTCCTCGTCATATTCCTCCTCATCCTCCTCTTCCTCCTCTTCCTCCTCTTTATTATGTTCCTCCTCTTCTTCCTCCTCCGCCACCTCCTCCTCCTCCTCCTCCTCCTCCTCCATTCGCCTTCCTTATGGATAACTTCCCCCGTCGCACCCCGAGGCCAGTCGGAAGGGCGGGCCAGGCGTTTCGCCTGAGACCGCCTTACCACTTATGAGCCTGAATCTTAAGAACTGGAACAGTTTCATACATTGAGGGCGGCTGGCAGGCAGTCCTATCGAGTCATTACTCGGCCCGGAATCGGCGCGACTGTGTTAAAACTCGTGCAACCCGAGTGATAATGCCCGAATCATTGTCTACACTCATGCACCCTATTCGGTCTCAAACTACTCGGTAGTCGTCCCATCTCAGTGTGGGCCGTCCACGTGATCGTCCAGCCTCAGGACAAGTTGCAGGTGGGTGCCAGCGCAATACTCTTGCAGGCCAGTTGTCCGCCATCGTGCTTACTCGATGAGCCAGCCTGTGCTGCCGTCGAAACAAATGGACGTTCCAGTCTTCCATTGGATATGATTTTAGGGCAGCCTTCATTTCCAGCCTCATCCTCCGCACTGTGTCGTCCCACGGCTCGTCGTCCAGGCGAATCCAACTAACGATGCTTCGAAGCATCCTCCGTTGAAACACATCTGATGAGCTCAAATATGACCGTGCCATTGCGCAAGACGCGAGGCAAAACAATATCGTTGGAGCAACTCGTGTGTTGAAGACTTTGCTCGGGGAGTAAATGTTCAACTGCGTGTCCATTAACATGTCACGATGCGCATGGAATCTCGCCCATGCCGTTTGGACCCGATGTCCAACCTTGAGAGAACTCGTCAAACGCACCGCACAATTTCCTTCCCACATGTTTGTGGGCCATGTCACGGGTCAGGACGTCCACGGGCTCACCTGCAACGCCCAGCAAACCCACGTTGATGTCGCATGATGTCGTGAATACCCTGGTCTTTCCGGCTTCCGGGCTGAGACCTATTTTAGCAAGTTCCTCTTTGAGCGCCGTGGCCATCATGATAAGATCCACATGGTCCACATGGGATGCAACGAAAATCCTGATGTCGCCCGCGTATCTCATATTGGTGAAGGCACCCCCATCATCAACCCGAACGCCTTTTACAATTACCCTGCCCTTCCATTTGCGAACTGCTGCTTCCACCCCCGCATTGGAAAGCAGTGGGCTCAGGACGTCGCCTTGTCTGCCGCCTTCCTGTATCTCAAAACAACGCGAAACGCGAACTCGCCCGCGCTGGTTTGCATATGTGACGGATAGCATTGCGATGTCCTCTTCTCCCACGCCTTGGCTCCAGACCAAGCCAAGCAGCGATTGGAATTCAACTCGGTCGAAGGCCTTACTCGGGTCCAGGCTTAGACAACACATATAAGCACATTCCACTCCAAGCAGTTGGCGCACACAGCTTCGAATATAATGAAAGCATCATCCACCGATCGTCTAGTTCTCAGACCAAACTGGTCGTCTGATTTTGTTGGGCGTCCAACACGCCACGAAGGCGGTGGGCCGCCAGCTGTGCGGAAGGCTCAGGTGACTGGCCTTCGGTAGCATCGAACAAACTGTCTCTCTCCAGATCAGGTCAATTGCGCCCTCATTCAACATCTTCTTGAACAAGTCAAGTAGAAGCCCCCCCAAAAAAATAAGAAGATTACTTTCTAGATGAATTTCTTAAACCAATAACGCCGCGATCCCAAACTCATCTGAACCCCCGCGGATATTCATCGATGTCAGTGAACGTCGAAGCTCCCACATAGTGGATGGGCGTACCCTCGTAGAGCAGCCGACCAACATAGATTGCAGATGCACAGAAGCTGATGCAGAGGAGTACGGCCATCCGGTCCGGAAGATCCTCCCCAAGTAGTTGGCAAAATCATATGGCCCCGCTTTCGCTCCAGATCCAACTTCAGGAGTACATGCTGGTAGTCTCATTGCGTCGCTGATCTGGTCGAGCTCGATGAACTCGTCCAGGACAGTTTGGAGCGCGGGTTGCTTCCAAAATGTGGCTGTCGCCTTAGCGCCGCGCACAATCGTTTCAAAACTTTGCGCGAGCTTCACGGAGTGAGGTCAGGTCGTTTTCAAAATGTGGCTCTCGACTTAGGGCCGCGCGCATTCGTCTTCAAACGTTGAAAAAAAATTCGCGAATTGATGGCGGGTCCTTTTCAAAATTTGGCGCTCGCCTTAGCGCCGCGCATTTTCGTCTTGAAGACTGCAAGTGTTTCACGGATTGAGGGCGGGTTCTTTTGAAAATGTGGCCCTCGCCTTGGCGCCCCGCACATTCGTTTTTAAACACTGAAAGAGTTTCAACATCTCTCATGTTTGACGCACCAGAGATGGTGTGTTGGAACGATTCAGGGTTGTGAGGGCGCAGCAGTTACCTTGATTCGCGGTGCTGACGTCCCAGGAATAGCGTTCTGGCGCGATTCAAGCTCGTCAAGACGCAACATTCAAGTTGGCTCGTGGCGTTGACGTCCTGAGAATGGTGTTTTGGCACGCGTCAGGACTTTCACACGGTTGTCCTCCAACGGGGCACCTCCCTCTGTCCCTCTGTGGGAATGAATCCTTGTATGGGGCCGATGCAGAGGGACCTTAGAGGGAGTGTGTATTCCAACGTCGTTGACGAGTCTTGGGTTGACTCTGGTCATCCGCCTCCTTCTCATCCTCCTCCTCCTTTTGCTCGTCCCCTTCTCCAATGAACCTCGTCCTCATCCCCGTGCCCAT